GGGGAGATCCAACAATTAATTTCCAGACAGTAGTTGGGAAAATATACTGCAGTGATGTCCAGGTTTTCTTCCACCCGCGCTGGCGTTTATATACAAGTGCAACTCTCTGTCTATTTCTGGAACGCGATCAAAACCCTGGTGCTATTTTTAGCAAGTGCTGGGGAGAGAGAAAAAAAATCCACACAAAGGCATTTCGCTGGAACGTTACGTCCAAAATATAAAATGTGCACTGACACTCCCCCCCCAGCATCTCCCGCTGCTTTCTTCTTCATAATTTAGGCTTTTTAAAGGTGCAACATTGCAGAAAATTTAGAGGGGTGATATTGATTGCTTTCCATATTCTTCTATTGCTCAATGTTACCCTCCTCCCAACCCAGAGTTGGATTGAGTGACTCTGTCTGTTGCCTTGCAAACATTGTTGTGTCTGCCTTTTTGCATTGTTTTTATCAAATGGCTTTTAAATAAATAAAGAGAACACATACACAACAGCCATGCACTTCTTTACCAGCATGCACAAATGAGGATTTCGAGCAAGCTTGCTTGCTGTTCTGAGCAAAAGAAAGATCCTTGCACGGAATGAACTACACTCAGCACAAAGAAAGGCTGTTTTTAACATTTTTGTTCCTCCACCCCCGTCCTCCCCTCCCCGAAAAAGCCCTTTGTCTGGAGAATAAAGAATCTATAAATACACACATATACACTTAAAACGTGCATGTGTGTGTGCCCGATTGCGTTCTAGTAATTCACTATGAAGGGAGATGGGGTAAAAAATAGAACCATTATGGCTTGCAGGCTGCAAGAAGCCAGCCTGAGACTCCTTTGCAAGGCTGCGTCAGTTATCAGCTATTGACGTCACGTTCAGATTCTCCTCTTCAGAGGCTCCAGTTCATCATAAAAGATGTCTGTGCTTGGAGCTTTGTGCTTGCAGAGAAGCACTTCAAATCGAAGGAAAAGAGTTAATTAGCAAGCCCCACATTTTGGGGATGGGCGGTGGGGGTGGAATTGTCTCTTTTTGTGTATTTGCATTATTCCGCAGCTGTGTTTTTAAAACACACATACACACATAAATGCATACATGGGGGGGGCGGGCGGGCGCAGGAGAGATGGAAGCAAGAGGGAGACAAAGATGTTGTTGAAAGGGTGTGTGGAGAGCTGAATATATTTTAAAATACACACAAATCTTGAAGAAATGAACTGCAAAGCAAAGCTTACTATACAGATGCACTCTGGAGGGACGCCCTCCGTGGTTCTCTACCTCTTATATTTTGATATGAGGTGGAGCAGGGATAGAAACCCTGAGATTCTGCATATTTGTCAAGCAAACAGGAGGGGAGTGGTGGATGCTTCTTAACAGCCCTTCCCTTGTAACTCAGGCATCCACCCACCCACTGAGAAATCTGGAGAAAAATAGTGTTCTGCATCTGTTTCCTTGTACATACACATATACACATATAAGACACTGCTCACATTTTTATTTGGCTACAGTAGCAAAAGCCATATATTGATAAAACTGGGATTAATTCTGTATATTTGTCAGGCAAACAGCCCTGTCTCCTAGAGTGACGCAAATAACAGATTCTATGGCTCTGGCTTTCTATATTCTGCACCCACGCACTCTGCTTGGTCTCCCACGGAATCAGCTAGAGAGAGCAATGATCCAGATTAGAGGGGAGGGGGAGGAGAGGGAGAGCAAAGGAACAAATGAAATTGCAATTAAAAATTATAATACTCCTATAGGTCTCTGCGCACGAGGCTAAATC